TTGACAAAGATTTAATGTTACGTATTCCCAACTCTACATAAATGAACAGTATTTAGAACCTGTATGGAGTAGGTTTTCCATTTGCTAGTTTCAGTTCTTGTATTCGACTTTTCAAGTATTTGATCAAGTTATCAACAATCGTCTGATTCTTATTTCGCCACTCCTCTAGCAATGTTTCTCTTAGGGCTGCCACTGATGTGATTTTGGTTGCACGCTCTCGAAGTTTTCGGTCACAGTGCTACAAAACGGGCTTCATTGGATTCATATCAGGACTTTACGCTACCCATGGCAGTGACTTGATTCCTTGCGATTTCTTCCAGGCCTTTGCTACTTTACTCGCATAAGGTAGACATTATTGTCAATCTCATTGGTTTCAAATAGTGGGAGTAGTCCCTTTTTTCTAATATTTGACAGTATTTTGGACCATTAAACCACTCATCAACAAGAATCAGCTCAGATTTCCATCCAAACCAGACAGCGCCCTACACCATTATTCCAATCCCTACATGTTTCATGGTCGCTTGCAGAAATTCAGTGTTCCCAGTCTCATTCTGATTTCTCCAAACATAATCCTGTCTCGAATTCGAATACTGGCAGAATTTATTTTCATCTGACCAAATTACAGACTGCCAAAACTCATAATCTTTGTTCTCGAATTCTTTCAGCCAGTCCATACGCCTGTTCCTGTTAATCTCTGAAATCAAGGGCTTCTTTCTTGAAAATCTTCTTTGATGCCTAGCCCTTTCAGAGTCTTTCTCACTGCACATGGTGATATTTCCATGCTGTTGGCGATATCTTTGACGCTCAGACAACGGTTTCTGATGACTTCCCTCTTCAGCGCCCTTTTCGTTCACTCAGACACGATGCTTGGTCTTCCTTCCACACGACAATGGCTTTCTTCATTATATTTCTTGACAATATTATTAACCTTTTGATGATTAACCTGGAAAAACTCATCATTTTCTCGATTTGACTTGCCACACTGATGCCATTCTATCTACCCTCGTTGAAATTCAGAATTTTCTTCCGAGAACTTTCATTACAAAATATAATTCAACTATCGTTCATAGATAAGAGCAGCTTGATACTAACACGGTCTTGTCTGAAGAAAAAAGAAGATGCGTCATTACACACGCCAAAATCTGATCTCTTCTCTGTCCGAACTCTAACGTTTCAGTGGCTGATTGCATTCAATGACTTGAAAACCAAACTTATTACATTCCATCATTACCATTCGAACCCCAAACTACTACCAGTCACGATGAATAAATGTCCTCTTGGGGAGGCCCCGTGCATTGAGTGCCTATTTAAGACCCTTGAGGACTCATGGTACAGTGGATAAAAGCGTTAGTTAGATCCAGTGACAGGACCCACAGAGTGTGAGTTCAATACCCGGTTAAGGCAGTGGAGAACTTTCAGAGGGAAATTAACAGGAGATAACAGATAACTGACATCCATTAAACATGGCACGTGGAACTAGAACAGTCTACCCCAGTTCGACATGCCAACCACCTGAAGAAGGCCGGGGCGTACAACGACCGAAACATTGTAATAAATATGGCGACAAAGATGAGGACAATAGTCGGAATAATGTAAATAATGACTTATTTCCTGCTCTATTTTTCTTCTGCCTATTTCTATTAACTCATTGGTGATTCCTTCGGCTCGTACATTTAATGGGCATGGTTTAATAGTGAAGGAGTTCCCCGAAATTGGATATTGTCCCAATATCGTTCATAGCATGGTCCTTCCACCTTCCTTCGGCCTGAGGGGGTTTAAATCCCGACACCGACTATTCAAAGCCAGAGACACCAAAACTCATTTCTATTTTATTATTCGATCAACTAAAACCAAAAGAAAGACGTTGCCCATCTTCAATGTATATAGGTAATGTTAATCACCTTTTTAAATTTTCGTTTTTTTTTCCTTTTTTTGTTTTGTTTTATCTTTCTTTCCCCAAAGTAAAGTGATGAATATTTACCAATAAATTATGTACATTGGCATTGAGAAACGAATAACTGTTGCGTAAAATGAATGCTATTCTTTTAATCATTGCACACAAGGTTAAGAAAGACCCTTTGATCTAAAGAGCTACATAGAATTTTAGATTTAGATTTCTCTGTAATGTAATCTGTTATAAAATCTTTTTGAATGAAATAAATGCTAGAAATGTAAAACCTGACCAAACGATTGTCATCAAACGATTGCAAATCTAATTCTTGTCATTATTGATATCAATAAGTTCTGGGAATATTCTTCTATTTTAATGTATTTTCATTAAGTTACTTGAAAAAATTATAGAAAAGCATTTCATTATTAGAAATTATTTTTAAAAAAATAAAATATTTCGTAAAATAAATGAATAAAAATTAAAAATAAAATAAAATAAAAACCTAATTGAAATTAACGATTCTTAACACCAGAATTGTAAATTGCCTAAAATAAGAACAAAATATTCCAGCAAAAATATCTGTTTGTTTTTATTTCATGAAACTTTAATGATTTTACAAACATTTGGTCCAGCTTTATTGCAGAGAGTAGAGAAACATAAAATTAATTCATTCAGTTTATTTTATACAAACTAAAATTAGAAAGACACGCGCGGTTAACTCAGTTTCCTTAACTAAAAACAGTGTAAAAGAATTAATTCATCTACACTGTCAGAGAGATAACATCACAAAACGTTGCAATATTTGTGCTACTCGCCAACTTATGTGTGTCTCTGTCTCCGGACAGCGCGCAAATCATGTGCGTATGTGTCTGCGGACAAGGCGCAACTCATGTGTCTGTGTCTGTGTGCGGACAACGCGCAACTCTCGTGTGTCATGTGTGGCAATATTTGTGCTACTCGCCAACTCTGCGGACAACGCGCAACTCATGTGTCTGTGTCTTTGTGCGGACAACGCGCAACTCTCGTGTGTCATGTGTGGCAATATTTGTGCTACTCGCCAACTCTGCGGACAACGCGCAACTCATGTGTCTGTGTCTTTGTGCGGACAACGCGCAACTCTCGTGTGTCATGTGTGGCAATATTTGTGCTACTTCGCCAACTCTGCGGACAACGCGCAACTCATGTGTCTGTGTCTTTGTGCGGACAACGCGCAACTC